AACAATTATATGGAGAGGCAGGTGGCTATTTTAGATTGGAAGACGAAGTCCTTGCGCAACAAGGTGGTATCTTTGGTCAAGGTCCAGTGGCAACATCGGAAGGGTTTTGAGTGTACGTGGGAATCTGAGGCAAAGATGCATGAGCATTGCCCATATTTATTTGTAGCACCGGACTTCGAGGACAAAGTCTGATTCAAGTGGGGGAAATTGTAACACTCAGTTCCAATTAAGCACCATTTTGGAATTTCTAATTAAATTCTCAAAAGTTTAAACCCTGGTCACAACGTGATCGCTTAGGTGTCATGACATGACCCCAATTGGAAGAATCCTACATACCCTTGAGACTCACGACGTGAGCCCTTATCGTTTACAATGTGAGACCTGGCTACGAGAAAAACCCTAATTTTGGGGGATTTATTCTATATTTAAAGGAACTGAGGGCTAGGTTTAGCTCACCATCAACCTACATCAACTCCTAATACTGCCCCTTGAAACACTAGCACCCTATAGTTGATTTTGAGCTCATCTATGGTGCTTTCTAGCAAAGAAGAAAAAGATGAAGAGCATCTAGTACACCATCTCAACATTCAAGCGTCACCATCATTCATCTTCACACCTTCTGGGCCCTTGTGAGTTTCCAAGTTTGATGCTTAATGAGTCAATAAGCTTAGATCTAGGTTTTTATGCATTATCTTTCATTTCTAGGTTGATATAGTGTTTGGGGTCCATAAAGTTGCCAACTTTATGGATCTCTAGTGTCCCTTTGATGATATAAGTGTTGGATCTGAAGTATTGTTGGGGTTTAAGACTCTTGCATGAGCTCCTAATACCATTTCTTCCTTTTGTCCCCCAACTTGTGTTTAGTACATGCATGTCTAAAAAGCCACATAATTTATGATGTTCTTAAGTAGATAAGACATTCTAGAAGTTTTGGTTACTTTTCTAAAAGGATTAAGAGCTTATTACATCAAGTTTTTCAGAGCGCTTCTCACGACGTGAGCACTTGTTGCTTAGGGCATGAGAATGATATGACCCGATTATCTTATTTTATTAGGTCACGACGTAACGACTAGCTATTTGACTTTTGAGTGTAGATTATAATCATTGACCGTTGACCAAGTTTGACTTTAGGTCAAATAGAGTGAATTGAGTAATAGATTAAGGCTTGGTCCATGTTTGTTGTATAGGTGACCTGTAGAGCCGATATTTTGAGCAACGTTCATTTCAGCTATCTTTCGGACATTGAGGTGAGTTTTCCTCACCGTACTTGTGGGTCGAAGACACCAATGTCGGCCCTCTAGGTTATGTATCTTGGTATTTAGGATGATTCTATGTTGGTTATATGTTAGATTGGTAGGTCTGTATGATTACTTGTATTCATTGGTGATATGTTAGACTGGTAGATCTTTATGATTACATGTACTTGTTGGCTATTGTTTATAGTTGTATATGTCGACAAGTTATTGTGTTGTGGGGTTGAGGTGTTCCTTCTTTATGCTGAAAGCCAAGATACTTGGGCAGTCAAGTTTATATTATAGACCCAATGGAGTGGTCCAACTTATGTTGTAGGCTAGGGAGCGGTCCAGCTAGTAACTGAAGGCTTGGCGGCGGTCTAGCCTCGTGCGGAAGGCCTGGTTGCGTGCATTGTATTATGTTCCTGTGTGTGGTACTTTGGGGGAACTCACTAAGCTTTGACTTACAGTTTGATTTTATGGTTTCAGGTACATCAGAGGACAGCGGCAAGGCGAATGCGTGATTATGTACATCATCCTAGATTTTTATTGACTTTTGATTTTGGGATACTCTGGTTCATGATTATGGTTTTGGAAACTATGTTATGGTGTAATTTTTGGATTTTGGAATGGTTTTAAAAACAAAAATTTTGTCTTGATTTTTGGAATGTTACAAAAAGTTGTAAAACGGAGTTGGATAATGACAAGTTTGTGCACAATATGAATTCTCGATTTCCACTCTGCAAAAAAGTCGTAACCGCGTCGTGGTGTCGCTAAATTCTATAAATAGATGTGAAAACTCACCTTAATGATATATCGTACCACCCAATTAGTCTTGGTCTACAAGAAACCTTAGAGTTGTGGTTTTGAGAGTCTAGAAGGCGGTCGGAGGGTCATTAAGCTTATATGGAGCGAATATTTGATGGATTCGAGAGTTAATTCATGACGAAAATCATTCGTTTTGTTGTTCTGACCATGATTACTATTCCGATTGTTTTCCAATTGTTTTTACTTTTTGATTTGGGGTTTTAAACCCTTTTGTTTTGTGTTTAATTAGACGAATCATTGAGATTTTTGATTAATTTTCTATTTGGATTGTTTATTTTTATTTAATTTATTGTGTCAAGTTTGATAAACGATCCATATGTGTTAAAGATTGTTGTTTTATTGTTTATTATTAAGTCTATGTGATTAGAGGGCCAATCAAATTATGTTTTAATGAATCATAGTTGTTTTATCACCGTAAAATAATTGTGACTAGTATTATATCAAAACCTCAGGTTAGGATGATAAGGCTACGAACTCTAATATGTGAGCATGTTTAGATGACCAGTATATGCATGATTTAATTCTAATAACCTTTAGGATTAATAAAAAATGAACAATGAGTTTAAGGATAATTAGTGGAATAATGATGAACTTAAAAGTCCTTAGAGTTATTAGTATTCGTGTACATACCAAATACACAAATCAATTTAGAAATCCGTGAATAATAAATAAATAACCATTGCACTTGGTAATTAATCATGATTTTTGGATGTAAAACAATTTAAACGAAAGTACTTGAAGTGATTATTTTCCAATTTGTTTATCTAGTTAGTTTAGTTATTGATGTACTTGAGATTTTATAATACCCCCCCCCCCCTATTGCTTCGTTTATTTAGTATAAGCAATAATTAAATATTCTAATATTAATTCACTATAGTTCCTAAGTGTTCGATACCGTTTCTTGGCACAACTATATTATTTCACAATTAGATACATTTTCCCGTGTGTGACAACTAGTTGAAATAGAATCAAATTTATAAATTTAAAACCAGTGCATAAAATACACACCACCTCTATCACCGCCAACACCACCACTATCACTGTCACTGCCACCAACACCTCCGCCAACTCCACCTCCACCACCACCTCCTCCTCAACCACATTTTCCTCTGCCACCAGCACCACCTCCATCTCCTCAGCCGCAGGCATCACTAACAGCAACTTCATTGTCGCCGTCATCGCTGCCACCACCACCTCAACGTGGTTAATTTATGTATGTACATATGGTTTGTTTGTTTAATATCATTAATGGTTATTGTTATCTAATATCATTTAATATGCATACTTTAAAAAAAACAAACAAGAATTTTTTACAGACTGCAAATATTTAGTCCACTTTTTTATTTTCAAATGTGGTTTCTAGGCTAGATACATTTATTTTTAAAAACAAACATGTAAATATCTTCGATCTTCTTCGATTAGCTAAGGGTATCATGACAACATCTTCATTAGTGAAGAGCATGTTATATTTGGCCTTAAACCTCGAAGCCGGCAATATTATATTTGGATAAAAACGACAACACATGTAAGTTCTTACTTACAAAATTTTAAGTTACTTTATAAAGGGCCTTAATAAACGTCTTTTTCATAGTGATGTTACATGGAGCTACATTGGTTTCTAAGTCCATATTTGGTTTACTTATTAATCAATAATCATGTATGGAAAAAAATGCATCGCCCAAAATAGGTTTTAAAGTCTAGCTTTAATTTATTTAACGCATTTATATTATTAGAAACATCGTCAAATGAAACACTTTGGGCGTGTTCGGCAAAATTAGCTGGTAGCGGGTGGCTGGTAGCGGATAGCGGGTAGCTTGTAGCTTGTAGCGTTTTGTTAAACGCTACATGAAGTAGCATTTGGATTTGGAGCGTTTTGTTTAAACTAAACGCTAGAAGCTTGTAGTGCCGAACAAAGCTTTCTGTTCAAAACGGAGCGTTTTGTCAAATGCTAGAAGCTGGAAACTCTCAAAAGCTTCCAAACGCTCCGTACCGAATGCGCCCAAAAACTTTTTTAATGTAAGTTACAAAAACAACTTAGTTTTTAATATATAAAATAACAAGGTACCCGTGTAAGGCAAACCAAATTATTCAAAATCAGTTGTATGTTTTTGCATTTGCAATATTTAGATTTATCCAATGACTATACAAAATTGCAAACCTATCCCGATGTAAAATATTATAAGAAAACTATTCATGGTATCTTTTGGTATGAGTTCAATCGTATTGGGCTTGTCTGAATATCTGTAATGGCCCATATTGCTGATTACTAAAGGCCCAAAAAATACTATAGTAACGTTGAAACAAGCTTCAGAGTTCAAACCTCCATTAATGGCGTCCCCATCTTCTTTGACCCTATCAAGTACGCTCCGCTCTTCCCAGCCATCTTCCGACCATGAAACTGCAATCGCCACCGCCGTCTCCGTCCTCAAACACCTCCAAATTCCGATGGACCCACCTCCGGACGCTCTTCCCTTCTGGTTTCGATTCGATCCTTCCAATTTTCCCAAATCACCATTCAACTCCATAACAATCCTCAGCCTACAAATCCAATGACCAAATGAACACCTTAAAATCCCCAATTTTTATCACATACTCACGATGGTATCTAGGGCTCAACCATGGAAATCCCATATGCATAAATCTTCGGTTTCCTTTCAAACCCCAAATTTGGTGAAAAAAACCCTAACTTGCCATCCACTTAACGCCCAACAAGGCAACAATGGTGTTTTGGGTCCATAATCATCATTTACACAATTAGGAAGGTAATAACAACTTAGATACATCATTAATCCGAGGCAAACCATACGACAAATCGATTCCCACATGAAAGCCTACATTGAGATAAACCCTAAAATCAACTTCACCATTAGAGGACATAACAAAACAAGATGAAGGTATTACTTCAAAGATTTGTTCCACATGGTTCGAAGGATTGAAATCCCCTGATAATTTGTATAATATATTAATATATTAATGTTGTATATTCATTGTAAAAATACGCTACACTTTTTAAAAACCAAAAATTACAAATGTACAAATTCTAGGTCCTATAGAAAAGGGAACTTCAAGTTCCATAAGCATTTGCTTCATATGATCATATCAGATCTCACAAAGATGGAAGAAGCCATAGATTGAATAAGGAAGAACCCATGGACAAGAACCAAGCCAAGAAAGCAAAAATGGTAGAAAGCAAATATCTACTGCAGATATTCGAAGGGCAAAAAGACTCATCTGCCCTCATCAAGATATCCACCACACTCGCACCTGAAGAAGCTGCAGCTAATGTAAGAGTCGATAACACCTGCTTCCGATTCATTAATCGAAACTCGAAACCATTATTACCTGTTTGCGATTAAGAATTATAAGAAAAATATTAAAAAAAGAAGAGTTTTTAATTTTACCCAATCTCCTATTACGATAATGACCAGAATACCCTTTTGTCGAACTGGACATGTTACAAGAACAGAGTATCCATCAAGCAGTGCCAATGTGAAGCTCCATGGAATAACTAAACCCATAATCGTCACCAAGAAACTGATAAAGTCGCAAACTTTAGAATTTTTCGAATTGATGAAAACAAGTTAACGAATTTATAAATCTATGATCTTGAAATTGTTACCAGAAAGATGAATAGCTGTAGAATTGAACACCATACGCCATGAACAGAAGAGAAGCAGAGGAGAAGATGGTTTGACCCAACCTCAGAGCAAAACCCGCACTTGTTCCCATGGATCCTGGAACATCATCCATAGCCATCGGATCTTTCGAACATGAAATTTAAGGTTCATAGTTGCCTTTGAATCTTGATGTAGTTGTTAACGTCTGTAGATTGAAGATGATTCATGGGTTTCATGTGATCGATGAGGTCTGTTGTACGAATTCCAGATTGATTAGTTGTCGTTCTTGAAATCTTGTGGGTTTGAGAAAGACAGAAGCTCAGCCATCGTTCGACAAGTGTTGTTTCTTGAAGAATTTGGGTTTGGTTTTTCAGGCAAAAGGAAGAGATTTGAGTGTTTGTGATTTTGAATGATTCTTTCTTTTTTGTCACGTAATTTTCTTTATTTTATTTTATGGGATGTGAGTATTGAGGTATAAAAAGTGGCATCAAATGTGTCGGCGGGATCGTCTTTGATGAAGAAAACATATGTGGCTATATTCATTCATGTACTTTTGATGATAATGGACCCCACGTATTTCTTTTCAAATCAACTTTAATTTGGATTTATTTTTTCATTTTAGTTCTCGAAATCACTTTGGAGGTATTAAGAAATTTAAGATGATGCATGTATTCTATCTAGAGATAGAGATGACAATCATTTAGTTGGTTTAATTAAAAACATTCACTAAAAATAACAATTTTATGACTTTATTTGGCTTTAACTAAAAAGATAGCTTTTTTAAATGTATAACCTAGTCTATCAATGTCTATCAATGTGTTATTTCAAGTTTATTGAAAGAATAACTTATAAGTTACTATAAAACATTATTATAATCTTATCAAACGTTAAATTATTAAGATAAATCAGATTATTTCTATAAAAGAAACCTAAAAGTCTCATTATCTATATAAAACCATCTAATTCTTTTAGTAAAAAATAACTATGCATCACATGAAAAATAATTGTTAATTAGAGGTGCACATATTGAACCGGATTTTTAACCGTGTGACAAAAATCGAACTAGTTTTTAGGTTGGGTTGACATTTTTGGTTAATATTTATCCACTTGATCTTATTTTTTGAATTTTAAAACTTATTTAGAATGTGTAAAGAACATTAAAATTTTGAGAAAGTAAGATTTGGAAATACTTTGTCCACAATTAGTTGGATGGATGGGTTTGAAGCATATGGTTTTAAATTAAATATGAGAAAGACATACACCACCTTCTTAAAGGCAATGTTATATTAATGATATCCACCAAGAACATGAAAAGGATTATCAACCTAACTCACATTAAACCACAATAAAACAAATGTCTAACGGTCAACCGTAGCCAAATGCTGGGTGGGCAGCCGGTTTTGGATACCACAAAGCTCAGCAACAGCAACCCTGATAATGACATATGATATGACCCCCTAAAATCAAGAAAATAATAATTTAATACTAGCAATTATTTAAGACTTTTTAAACGAACAACGTTCAAAAAAAAGTTATTAGGATATATACACTAAAGTCTCAATAATTTTATCGATTTAATAAGAAAATCTTACACTTTATTATTTTACAGTAAAATCTTAATTACCGGTAAGTTTTGACACATTTATCATTTTACTCTGGTTAGCCGGTAATTACGATTTTACTGTAAAAAAAATAAAGTTTAAGACTTTCTTGTCAAATCGTGAACCAGGACTTTACTGTCAAAAAAATAAAGTTTAGGACTTTCTTGTCAAATCGTTGAAAATATTGAGACTTTAGTGTATTTTCGTAGTAAAAAAACTTTTAATCATGATTTTTGTCGCATCACCACTGTTTTTCTTACCATCATCATCTTTACCATGATACAATCATGATCAGGGGAAATAGATGCAAAAGAGAACAAGAGAGAGTGAGAAGACTTGTAAAACTTTCTTCTTAGTTCGCCGCCAAATCTTGAACTGAAAAGTGGGGACATATTGTACAAACACAAACAACACACGCCTAGTCAAAAGGGTGTGAATGTAGAGAATGGATAAGAAGGGCAATTTCGTTTTTTTAGCTACTTAGTTCTCCATTTTTAGGACTGCAAAAAATCAACACAACCCTGGTTCTTTATTTTTTTCTTGATTATCTGCATTTTTTCAATGTCGGTTTGTTGAGATTAAACAAACTATTTAACAAGAAGCAAATGTTAAGGATTTCAATAGGATAGAGCATGTTTCAATAACTCTTATGCTTAAAGACTATCATACTATTAAAATTTTAACCAAACAAAGGGATATATACACTAAAGTCCCAATATTTTTGACGATTTGACAAAAAGTCCTAAGCGTTATTTTTTTGACAGTAAAGTCCTAATTCACAATTTGACAAAAAAATCATAAACTTTATTTTTTTTTACAATAAAGTCCTAATTACCGACTAACCGGAAAAAATGGTAAATGTGTCAAAAACTACCGGTAGTTAGGACTTTACTGTCAAATCGATGAAAATATTGGGACTTTAATGTATATATCCCAAATTATTATTTTAATGAATGCAGTTAATTTATTAGGATATGTTTTACTTTTAAAAACTAAAGTTATTGTTAGTGTTAGACTGCTGCATTTATTAGAATATGTTTTACCTTTAAAGTTATTGTTAGTGTTAGACCGATGGGAATGGTTGTGGTTGTCACCTCATGGCAAATACCGTGTCGGGTATGTGGCCTAGGCCGAACTCGATATCACAATGTCTCAATCGTTTTTTTTTTCTATTCTCTCTTTTTTTTTACTCTTTTTGTTACTGTTTTTTTTTCACCTATAAGTAAAACCATAAACATCAATATTTATCACACCTCGATACACTTATTCTATCTCTCTATAATTCAAACAATATGTTTTCTTCAAACAATCCAAACAATCAAAAAACACCCACAAGAAACACCCCAACCCCTTTATTTGATCGACCAATCTACTTTTCTATTGTTTACCATTATGACGGTATGTTATCGTATTATCAACAACTATACACACAACCACAACCACAACCCCAATTCCAATCCGACACTGAATTTAATCACTTTGATTTGTGTCTCAAACTCAACAGAATATTTTCCCCAAACTTAACTCGAATCCGACACCAAGACCGAATTCGTTTGAGAAACTCAATCCACCGAAGCACCTAAAAGAAAATGGAAGGCCCATATAAATCATGAGAATCAGTACAAGTGATGGCATTGGCATATATATATCGTACAAAAGACCAAGTGTAATCAATACGAGGGAAGAACAATAATGAAATCATATTGTTGAATAACAACATGCACCGTCAATGGCAAAGCGGAGAAAGTGATGATGTGATTTTGAAGAAAGCGCTAAAAGTGTACAAAAAGATAACATGAAGGCTTTCAAATTTATTAAGTTTTAGAACTAGTGAAAGGTAACAAAAAAATGGAAAGAGGCCAAACTATTCGACGGACATATCAATGGTGGTTCAGAAAGCTCGAAAACATTTGAATCTGAGTATGCTACATAGAACTTTTTTTGTTGAAATCGACTTCAACGATGATGATACAATTCAATTTACACCACCTTCTCGGTCAATGGGAAGGGACAAAGTGAAACACAATGACAAAGGCAAATATGTAGATTCGGATGACTTGAAAGTGATGAGGGCGGAGATGAAGGGTCTAAATGTAAGAATGGATAAATTTTTACGTGTTGCTACCGAAAAAGAACATAGGAAACAAAGAGATAGTGACATGAAAATCTTAATGCAATCCGGGGAGGAGCGTGAATTGGCTTTGGTGATCAAAGTAGACATTACGAAAAAAATAACCTTTAGGCATACGCTCCAAACTCCAGATCATCTGTTGGATAATTATCCTCGTGAGGCTTCAACTATCTTGAGGCATACGCGATTACTCGACTGCATTGCATGAGGACGGCTCTGAAACCCATGATTGATGCATCACAATAAACTACTACGTCATCAACACCTTCTGGAAGGGTTAATACTGGACCTTCGCATAACATTTACCTCAACGTTCAGACGTTAATTGTTGCTCAGGACCCCAACGAAAAGCAACACCCTTCTTTGTTAAACGAGTCATTGGTACCGCAATCTTGGAAAAATCCTGAATAAATCTTCTATAATATCCAACCAATCCCAGAAAGCTCCGAATCTTAGAGGGATTGGTCAAAACCTGTCATTACATTTCTACCTAAATCTTAGTCGGGTCAGCCATAATGTCATTCTGGTTGACAAGATGCCCAAGGAACTGGATCTCTCTCATCTAGAATTCGAACTTAGAGAACTTCACATATAACTTCTCCCTTATTAGAACTTCTAGTAACTCTCTTAGGTGCTCATTATGTTGCTCTTGAGTCTTTGAAAACACTAATATATCGTCGATAAACATGATTACTTATCGATCAAGCATAGGTCTACATACCCGGTTCATTAAGTCCATGAATGCAACGGGTGCATTAGTAAGCTCGAAAAGCATCACTACAAACTCATAGTGGTCGTACCGAGTCCTAAAGATCGTCTTTGGTATAACTTCCTCCTTTAATCGTATCTGTTGGTATCCTAAAAACTAGTTATATTTGATATAAATCGATATTTATGTGGTAAAATAATTATAATTTAATATACAATTGCCGCCTTACATAACGCCTTGAAAAACGCTATGGATCGCCATGGATAGTAAAGCTTGAGGCTTGGCCTTGTCGCCATGATACACCTCACGCATTTTAGAACCTTGAATGAACCCCTTTTCCATAGACTCTTGAAGTTAATTGGACAACTCCTGTATCTCTTGGGGCTTAAGATGATAAGGTTCCTTTGCTACCGGTGTCGCACCAAGAATTAAATTGATCCTTAATTATACTTCTCTCTGGAAGCACGCCAGGTAAGTCCTCCAGGAATACATCAGTGAATTCGCAAACTAATGGTACTTCTGCAATAGTTTCCTTCTTCTATTCCTGAGTGTCGATCACATAGGCCACCAATACCTTACAACCATGTTGTAGGTATTTCCTGGCCCTTGTGGCGGTACAAAATGTTGAACTACTTTTGGAACCTTCGCCTCGGATAGTAAGTTCTCCCCCACTTGGAGTCCGAATTCTTAATATCTTTTGCTTAAAATCGATCAGGGCCTCAAACTGGTTTAGATAGTCCATACCTACTATTACATTCATCTTGCGCATAGGAATGAGAATAAGATTTATTGGGAAACTATTGTTGCAGATTCTTAAGGTACAACTACGGTAAACCTTTGATGCTTTAACTGTTCGATCGTCAACTATTTCTACTCTTAGAGGATGATTTGAATCACCTATGGTGTTATAATTCGAATGCTCTAAGTGGTTCATGACCACCATCTGAAACACCAACCCCAAGACACCACTTTCGCTACTTCAACTTTGCAAAGTACGAGTACTTTCATGATGTCATTCAGGAT